TCAGGAAATGAATCTGCCCCCTGCCCTGGAGGAAGACATTCTATCTATCTACCAAGGCTGTTTGCTACACAAACATAATTGAAAAGATAGTAAATAACAAAAGTGCAAAGCCAGAGTGACACAGGATGAATCGTTTCTTAAGAATGACCTTTTCAACCAAATGTCTTCCAAAGTTCAGGGGAGGAGAGAGATGAGGATTGGAATTTCTCTTGGATATCTACAAAATCTCATATTTACAAATTTTTTTAAAAAGTTTATTTAGTTATATATTGCCTAAATGGGAAAGAATACAAGGAACCCACCCTTGTTTCTATCTCTATGAGAGCCCTCTAAATCTAAACCTCTTTTCTGGTCGGGGAGGAGGGTCTCTTCTCATTAACTTGAGGACAGCATAACTCTCATCTGTGTCAGTCAAACAAATATCAGTGCAGTCTCCATACAGCACACTTTGGGGCTACATTATTTTCTTAGATTGTTGACTTTGTGATGAGATGTGTTGGTTGTCCCATCAAATAAAACAGATGTTTTAACTACTCTCCAGGCTTAGTTGAGCTGTGATCTCTACTCTTTCCAGATGCTAAATAAGTAACCCCCAATTCATTGCTCATATCCTAGAAAACTGCTGTTTCAATAGAAGAGAAGGGAGAGAGAGTTAAAGCCCCCAAATGGCAGAAAGTGATGGCAAGTTTATCAAGAAGTGAATCAGTGCTTCCTAACCTAGCTGATTTCTGCGTGTATGCTGAAGCATCCTTTCTAAATCCTGACCCTATGCAAAAAGGAGAAGCAGATGAGCATTGCCTTCAGGAAATAGTCTCATAAATACCAAGGGAGTTCTGGAACAAAGGTTGCAGAATTTTGTATAGCTATTTCAGGAATTTTTTTTTTTTTAAACTAAGTCCACTGAAACAATCAGTGCAGCAGACCCTTGCAGAGAAGGAAAAAAAGAACTTTGAACCCATGTATCCATCTTAATTTCTTAAAATACATTGTTTAGAAATAATCTCGCCGGGCGCGGTGGCTCACACCTGTAATCCCAGCACTTTGGGAGGCCGAGGCGGGTGGATCACAAGGTCAAGAGATCGAGACCATCCTGGTCAACATGGTGAAACCCCGTCTCTACTAAAAATACAAAAGATCAGCTCGGCTTGGTGGCACGTGCCTGTAATCCCAGCTACTCAGGAGGCTGAGGCAGGAGAATTGCCTGAACCCAGGAGGCGGAGGCTGCGGTGAGCCGAGATCGCGCCATTGCACTCCAGCCTGGGTAACGACAGCGAAACTCCGTCTCAAAAAAAAAAAAAAAAAAAAAAAGAAAAAAAAGAAATAATCTCATATAATTTTTATGTATTTATTTGCAATATAGATAGAAATTGCCTTTTTTGATAGACATACTTTTATGATCCTGGTCAAATTGATGCACTGCTCTTTCAATTAGGAAATTACTATAGCATTTTAAGTTTTGTTTTTCTTAATGCTTTTAATGGAAGCATATTATGAAAATAGTTAAGGATGTGTGTCCTCTTGTTGAAGCCTGTCATCAAAAGAAGTTTTACACCTGTAATCCAAGCTACTCAGGAGGCTAAGGTGGCAGAATCGCTTGAGCCCAGGAGGCTGAAGTTGCAGTGAGCAGAGATTGCACCACTGTACTCCAGCCTGGGCGACAGAGACCCTATCTCAAAAGAAAAAAAAAAAAAGTTTTAGCGAGAGTATAAAATTAGAATCAACAAAATTATCTAATAAAAGTGCTTGAAATACTATCTTAGTCATTGAGCACAAACAGGCCAATTTCTAATACATTGCTTAAAGTTCATAACATTAAAAATTGCCAGTTAAACAGTTTCTATAACTCTTAGATTGCCCATGACACAGTACTTAGTTTGCTCAGCCTGCTATAACAAAATACCACCAACAGGTTAAACAGAAATTTATTTTCTCACAGTTCTGGAGGCTGAAAGTGCAAAAAGCAAGATCCCTGGCCGGGTTGGTTTCTCCTGAGGCCTCTCTTCTTGGCTTTAAATGTGTCCTTAAATGTCTCCTTGCTGTGTCCTTAATGGCCTTTTTTTCTGAATATTTATCCCTGTGTCCCTTTCTTTTTATCTAAGGGCACAAGTTCTATTTGATTAGGGTCCCACCCTTATGTCCTCCTTTAACCCTTCATTAACCTCTTTGAAAGCAATGTCTCCAAATATAGCCATTTGGGGGATAGTGCTTCAACATATGGATTTGTGGGAGAACACAGTTCAGTCTACAGCAGTACTCAATACACAGATACATGTGGGGAATGGACTCTTCTGAAATCCAGGGGAACATTTAAGACATCTGAGATATTGGGGACAAGATTTGTATCCCTGGCAAAGATCCCAAGAAAATCCACAATCAAGCTTTTAAATACAAATTTTCCAGTTTTAGCAATTAAGGAAGTAGAATGAAGAGAAACCTCAGGAACAAATAAAAAGAATATCATTAAAAGCATCCTAGAACATGAAAACAATAAAGAGGGAAAACTAGAGAAACATGAGTTGTAAAACAATACAGGGAGATTCAGAAGGAAATCATGTGTAAGAACTATTATCCAGTGTCTTCCATGTATGTTTCCAACAAACAAAAAATGTTTACTGTATGTCCTTGATACTTAAGACTGACCACTTGGGAAGAAAAACGTCTCCCAGAATAAAAAAGAAAAAGCACTTTCATCACATTTTGGAAAGGTTACTTTACCACCAATGACCTATTGTATGCTAAGTAATAAATTATATTAAAGAAAATAAGTAGACAGAACCATGATTAATATGAGATTTATGGATTGTTATTAATGGGCATTGCTGACAGGAATTGAAGATTTACGTGTTTAAGTTTGTGCCTTATATGGGAAATTGGCTTTAAAGACAAAAGTCGTATCTTTCTCCCAATAATGCTTTCACAAAATGAGCCTTGCCTCTAGTCCTTCACGGTGGTGGATGATGGACTTCCATTCGTATGAGGACGTTATGCATGTTTTTGATGTGCATTGCCCTCCCCACAGAGTCCCCCACTGTTAGGTCTGGGGTAAAACTGGAAACGTCCATTGTTGATGCAGGATTTTTTGCTCCTTAGTTCAGCTAAATCCAGGTTCTTGTCTCACAACCAGGAAAAATGAGGCATGCAAACACATTGAAGGATGAGGAAAATGGAAAGTATTAAGCGAAAGGGGAGCTCTCAGCCAAGAGAGGGGTCCCACCATCCAACTCCCACTTCACAGATTGAACACCAGCCCACCACACAGGAGCTGAAGGGGCCAGGCTCCTCCCCTGTATCAGGTGTGAATCCCTGGTGGCTCCACCCCATTTTTTTCAGTGCCCATGTGGGCCCTTAGTCTGAGCCACCCTACGTTGATGTCCCTTACTGTGCATGTGTTAAGGGACAGAATTTTTTACCCTGGGCATGTTTAGTCAAGTCCCCTATGCAAAATGACCTGGGCAGGTCGGAGGCTCTCCGGGACCCTTTTCTCATGTGCTTAGGCATTTGGCTGTCTCCTGCCCTTACTGTTGTTACCAAACTGCCCAAACATTCTGAAAACGCTGCTCTATGATAACCCAGAAATTTGTCTCCTTAGAACCCCACCCCTATAAACACCAACCACAGGATGTGGATGTAGATAGTTCACCCATTTTTGTAATAAGAAGGAAAACTTTGAAGTATACCAAATTTTGAAAAATAAAGAATGGCTGCAAAGTTACCATTTGGATCCATCTTTAAAAAAAGAAAGATATTTCCACAGTGCCAGACTTTTAAAATAGACTGAGTTAAGACACTTTTGTGGCAAGACATAGCAGCTCCAGAAATGCCTTACTACTAAGAAAGTAAAATGAAATAAATACGTTCAAGCTCTTTAATTACAGTTGCAATTAAAACATAAGAACCTCTTAGTTTTATGTGGCCTTGAAAGACCTGTTGTGTCATATCAGGTACTTTCCTGATGGCATCTTCTATGAAGGGTGGTAAGAGTCAAATCCAATGCTAGATGCAGAGTATGTGACCCATCCAAGCATCAAGGGCCAGGCAAGGAGTGTGCAGGTGCACAGTGGGAGGTACACACCACAGTGAGCGGAAAGGCATGCAAAGCTTAGATTTGACAGAGATGATCTTTCCAACTCCCAGCTTTGCCAGGAATCAGGCATTAAATAAAGAGAAAATGTGAGACTTTATTAATTAGAAGATTGCTCATTGTTTGTCAAAAAGTAAGTATTTGCTCAGGTTGGATCAGAGACACTGTATGCCAAGACTAAATAAAGCTGTTTCTTGAAAATGCAATGTAAACTACTATTTTCTTTGAACTAATCACATGCCCGAGCAAGGGATGTGATATCACTTCTCAGCTGTCCTTAAAATGTATGTTTTGAATAAACAAAGATGCCATAATTTTATCACAGCGTTTCTCAGAGAATATGCTTTTTAATATGTGAAAGATCCTATCACAGGAGCAAGGAAGAAGGTCTATCTGAGAAAATAGCCATGTATAAGGATAGAAGTGTAAGAAAAGAATTTGAGAGATTGAAATGAGTCAAAACAAAAAATAATGGGTATTCTGTAAATTTTTCATGGGTCTCCGCTTCTGAAGGGGCTGGCACCTTCATTTTCACAAGTCTGTAAATTGTAGAAAGCTGGAAGTAATGCAAATAATTCTTGTCCATAGAAATGTAAATAACATGTCCGGGAGAGTACAATTGATCATGCCCTGAATGTTTGCCAGCATTCCCCACTGCTATGTTCATTGGAATCCTTCCTTTCATCTTACTGTTCCCCTCTTAATTAACGAGTGACAACATTAAGTTGTTTACAAGTATTCCTTTCCTATTTTTGAGTAATGATTTTACTTTTAAAAAAGTTACCCTTCAACAGGGGATTATGCAGGTATCTATAACAGATCCTACTGTCTGTCACTCACATTTAACCCTGAACATTTAAAAGAGCAGATTTCAGTTTAATATCTTAAGGCCCAAAACACATTTTCTTTTCTCTTTCAGCTTCAGACAAGCTTGACTGAACCAATGACATTATCCAAATCAATATCTCTTCCTCGCAGCGCATACTGGCATCACATCACCCGTCAGAACAGCGTTGGTGAAATCTACAGTTTGCAAGGCAAGTCACTTTAAAGTAAGAAAGCAGCACCTCCATTAGCTTCCTCCAGGTGGACTGAGTCATGCAATTTGCTTTGTATTTGCATTGCTTGCTTTTCCTCCATTCCCACTTTTCAGCTGTCACTGGCCACAGTGGGAGCTGAGATTTACAGTGGCTTTTAAAAGCTATCATTTCATACGTTCATGGCAAAAAAAAAAAAAAAAAAAAAGAAATTCCAAAAATCACTGTGAGGGTGAAGGACTCAATTTGGCACAAGAACTTGACTAAAACACTATACCAAGCACATTATCAGAAGCTAAAAGCTAATGCTGAGGTCTGCTTCATGCTGGGTTTTATGAAGGATTTCTTTTTTTGCATCTTTTTTTCCTTGAAAGGATTAACTATCAGTTCAGGAGGCTGACTTCAGGCCTTAAGGCTCTGCCATAAACTGGTACATAAACCTGCCCATGAAATTCTTAAAGTTTAGCCAAAGCCTTAACATCGAAACCATTTGAAGAGGGTGCAGGGTAGAAGGGGCCACGTGTAGATACTTTGCCTTTGTATTTTTCTAATAATAAATGGTCACTTAACTAGCATAGGAATAGCTTGCCAGATGAATCAAATTAATAGCAGATTTTTGACTAACAGCAGTAGACAGCCCAGCTTCAGCAGTTGTCTTCCTGTTCCTTCCCTTTTGTTTTAAAAAGAATACTCTTATCCTTTAAATAAAATATTTGACTACAAGCAAATAACAGCTGGCCAACACTGCAGGAAGCACGAAACTAAGAAAATAAGGCTGAAACACCCACAGCCAAGAGCATTTACTCATCCAACAAACATTTACTGAGCACCATAGACTTGAATGTAATAAACACCCAATAAGTTTGAGGAAAGAATGACCAAATATCACCCTCAGGTAGTTAAGCATTCAGAATATGGTTTTCTTTCACATGTTAGCTTTTGCTCACTATTAACAATGCTATAAGTTGAGACAAAAAGAAATATTTCTGTTGCAAACAAACTGAAATAATGTCTTTATAGCAATATTTGCTTGCCAGGGTTTCCAAACTAGACTAAAGGAGTTCAGTCATGGAAATTAATGGTTAAAGATACGTTCTACAAGGCAAAGCAGTTGGAATGGTTTTAGTCACTTACTGAAGGCAACTGTGTTTTGTATTTTAAAGGGATTCTCTTATAGCCGTACGGGTCCGCAGCAACTTCAATTCTTGCCTCCTCAGAAGGAATTCCACTGAGGGGCATAGGCAGAAGTAGAGACGTAGGCAAGTTTCAGAGCAGAAGTGAGCATTCATTAAAAAGCTTTAGAACAGTATTGACCGCCTGTATTTAAGGGTTATCTTCATTATTTGTTTGTATGAGAAAATATTTAATAGAAGGATTAGAGGGTTGAGAAAAGCACGGGGTGGGGACTGGATTGGCAATTTCAAGAATTGGAAAGAGAAGACGTGTGTCTCATGCCTTTACATCCCTCTTCAAATGCCAGCAGCCGTGCAAATTGCCTGCGTCATGATTATGCAAAATTAATCTTGCCCATTTCTGTGATTAAAAGTTAGGAAATATGCTTGTAATGCGAGTTTATTTTTATCTAAACCTATGTAGATACGGATATTCTCTTAAAAACTGGAACTATAAAATATTTAAATGGAAAGATCAAATGTGTAAGCAAAAAAGTGAGATTAATGATATTAAATCCAAAAAACGTGGGAGTAGGTCAGAAGTAACATAAGGACAACTTTAGATTTGTCAAGTGTTTGATCTATAATTCCAGAAATTAAGAACTATTGTTTTCATGTTAGTATGAAGGAAGCTTTTTATGAAGACAGAGAAAAGACAAGCTGATACACAACTTCAGAAAGCTTTCTTGTATAGCCAATAAAAAATTAGAATGCACTGGAATGTTCTAAAACATTGCCAGAGACTTCCTGAAGATGTTGATTTGTAGTATAGATGTAATAACTAGTTGAAAAATACTTATTTATCTTACTAATATTAATTTCCAACAAAGTTAAGGGCTTGACATGCCTTGTCAATTACAGCTTACTTAAGTGATCTCAGTATTTCATGTTTCTGTTTGATAGCGACTGTAGTTTTTATAGAATAAAAATCAGCATTGACTAGGGTAGTTACTTAAGTCAAATATTTATAAAATATATTCAATGGAAATTACATTTCGCTACACTGTGGGTTTACTTTTTGTACCGTGTGCTTCTTAGAGTAATACATTCTCCCACCCTGTATACCCCTCACTGTTAAATACATAGATATAAAAATTTAAGTATCCAGATAAGGGGATAGATGATTGATAGTAGACAGCGGTAATATAGAGGTGGATAAATAGAAAGATGAAAATATAAAGTTGCTAGTCATACTTTGATAATGGTCATTTGTTTCATTCCTCTTTCATTCTGTTGTGATAGTCAAAACAAGCAAAGAGCAAGGTACCTCGATAGTTTTTTTTGTTTTTTTTCCTTTGATGCTAGTCCCTAATGGAATCAGGGCAGAATAAGATACTGAAAATAAGGAAGAAATAAAAATAAATGCAGACCCTCAGCACCCTTCCATACACCTGTACCTTTTCCACAAAGCTACACTGAAAAGTCTAGTTATGCACCAAGCATAGTGGCTCATGCCTATAATCCCAGCACTTTGAGAGTTCGAATTTTTTTTTCCCAGAGCAGAAGTGAGAATTTATAAAAAAAAAAAAAAAAAAAAGTCTTAGAACAACAAAGAAAAGGAGAGAAAAAAAAAGAAGGAAAATTTACCTTGAAAGACAGCCGGGCAGGCGACTTGAGAAACCAAGCACGCAGCTTGACCTCTTGACTTCCGGTTTCAAACGCTGGCATACTTCCGGGATCTTGCATTACGTCTCCCTACACCTGAAATCTTATTGGGAAGCTGCTGATCAGTTTTAGGTGTTTTCTATCTATTAGGCCCCTGCCTTTTTCTGGGGCTGGCCGTGACTAATTATTACTTTAGAAAAACAGTTAACAACCTCCTGACCATTAGCTGATTGTTGCCCAGCACTCCTGGTGTGTGTTGGGAGGAGGGCTTCTCTCTCTTGCCCCGCTCATACATGACTAGCTACCTGCTGTAACATTGCCCACCTTAAGAGACCAGGACCCCAAATCTTTGGGGGTAAATGGATGCAGGTCAAACTTCTGTAACTGCTTCCTGCTGACAGAGGGGTGGTCGTGGTTCTGTGGATCTTGGCTCCTTGCTAGCTGTCAGGGCTGAGTTGGCTGCATGAGTTGATGAAAGTAGTATCCAAGCAGGTCCATGGGAGACAGGGGCAGGATTTCACCACTGTCTTGTCTCACTGATGGGCAGTGCAGATGTCCCCTCTAGAAAGGTGACTCTTGAATATCAAGAGGATGATTTTCCTCACTGAGGATTGTCTGGAGCTCAATCTTTCCCCAATGAGAATTGTCTGTTCCTCACTAGGAAGGTATCTGAGTCAGGTGCACCAAATATGTTAGCAGTGGCAGATATCCAAGTTACCCAAGTTACCAGCAGCGAATCCATACAGGTCTGCAGCAACTTCAATTCTTGCCTTCTCAGAGGAAAGAATTCTACTGAGGAGCATAAGGCAGAAAGAGAGATTCAGGCAAGTTTCAGAGTAGAAGTGAACGTTTATTAAAAAGCTTTAGAATAGTAAGGAAAGGAAGAAAAGAAAAGAAGGAAAGTTTAGCTTGGAAGAGAGCCAAGCTGGCAACTTGACAGAAAGGATTACTTGAGTCCAGGAGTTTGAGACCAGGCTGGGCAATATAATGAGACTCCATCTCTGCAAACAACAATAATAACAATAAATAAATAAATAATGCAGGGTATGATGGCACGTGCGTGTAGTACCAGCTACTCAGGTGGCTGAGATGGGAGGGTCACTGAGCCTGGGACGTTGAGGCTCCAACGAGCCATGATTGCACCGCTGCACTGTAGCCTAGGCTAAAGAGAAAGACCCTGTCTTAGAAAATAATTTTTAAGAAGTGTAGTTATTTTGAATCTCTCTTTTCCGACTGTGCTCCTTGAAGTGGCATTACCTCTTCTTTACAAAAAGGAGAATATTGTCAGCCCTCTGTCATCATTGATTTTACCAAATCAAAGTAAAAGCCTGGCAATGTGGGAATATATCATTGTCAAGAAAATCGCAGATAGCACTGAGGAATAAAAATATATCTTTAGAATTTTCACGTATTTTTAGGTGAAGTTGGATCAATATGAAATGATGAATTTAGTGGACCTCATTCAGAAAACAAAAGTGGGAAAGTTTTATATAAAGTTTAAGAGATTAAGATTCATTAATAAGCAGCACATGTACTGAAATTTTTTTAAATGCTTGGCGTGAAAACAAATCCGTTCTATAGTAAGACTTACCTGTAACTTCAACTTCAATTGCTTGTCAGCCTCAAAGCTTTGACCTAGCTGACCAGCTGTATTTTTTCTGTATTTTGCTGTATTCATTTCTCTCATCCATTGCTAGATACACCCTTAAAGACTGACATATCAGTACTGAGATTCTGCACCTACCTTCATCTTTGGAGCATAAGAATCTCCAATACAATCTGCCTAATCTTTCCATGTTACTCCCAGAAGGGTGCTCTGAAGGAATAAGTTAATGTGATTTCACAATTGTATTTTAGTACCTGTAGTCTGGAATCAAAAGAGTGAAAAAGGGAATAATTAGCTTCTAACAAGCACATGTTGTTCTAAGTACATGGCAGCTACTCTTTAAAAATCTGTGTCCCTAAGTGGTTTGCAGTAGGTTCAGTTATGCCACCTCTTCTTGCGGAAGTGGTAAGCAGACATTCGTTTTCTTTTTTGCCAGATTATCATAAGGATAGTTAATTTGTATTAGAAGGTCATTTTATATGTATACTTCTCTAACTTCCTCTGTACTTATACAAAATGTTTATATCACACTCATACTAGAGATGTTGTCTCTAGATTTAGGAAAACCTAAACCGTAAAGGGATGAACAGGATTTTAAAGTCTCCACTCAGAAGTGA